CCCTGAGCTGCACTGGTTGCCTATTGGTCTCCGGGTCCAATTCAAGGTGTTGGTCATTACCTTTAAAGCCCTATATGGCTCAGGACCAGGCTATTTGCGAGACCGCCTACTACCTCATAGTTCCCTACGTCCGTCCGGTTAGATCCCACAGGCTAGGCCTCCTTCAGGCCCTGTCGGCCAAGCAGTGCCATTTGGCGGGGCCGCGGGGGAGGGCCTTCTCTGTGATGGCGCCCACGCTTTGGAACCAGCTCCCCCCCCCCCGGAGATTAGGACCGCTCCCACCCTGTTGGTCTTCCGTAAGCTAGTTAAGACCTGGCTTTTCCGGCAGGCCTGGGGTTTATAAAACCTGACCCCTGGATGACTGTCTTTGTACTGTTTGTTTGTTATGTTTTATGTGTTTTTTTATTGTTAGCTGCGCAGAGTCCTTCGGGAGTGGGGCGGCTTATAAATTTTAAAAATAAAAATAAAATTTAAAAAAAAAATAATAAAATAAATAATTCATTGAACAAACAACAGCATCTTGGTTCACTTAAGACATAGACCATGGTTTATACAATATCTAGTTTTCACATCACAGTCAGAACCACATGGTTAAGCTCAATGCAAGCTCAGCCTATGTATTAAGTTTGCCACATCAGGAGTATCTGCTATGACTTCCCTGACCTTTTTTTTTTTTTTGCAACATATTCAAACAAAGCACCCCTTGTGGATCTGATGTCTGCCCAACAACCCTTACAGATAACATACTTTATCCTGTCTGCTCATCTTGCCTTTGGGGCTTTCAATCAAGACCCCTCCTCACTGAAAGCTACATTCCCCAGGGGCTTCCAACACCAACACATACACACACAGGTCTCCCAGTAGTGTCTGGCTAAGCTTTTGGAGAGCCACTTGGAGTGCTAAAGTCACTTCAAAGCACTCTTGTTGTTGCCTTGAAAGAGTTCATCCTCTTGCCCCTGGGCCAGGCTAGACCTTGTGGTTGGCCTCCAGCCTGTGGAAGGAATCTGGGGCTTGGACCTTGGATTGTTCTTCACCCCTGCATGTATGGTGGCTATTTCTAAAGAGCATAAGCTTCCAGGAATGGTGGTCTGCTCAACTTTCCAAATTTTGAATCCTCCCAAGTGTGAAGATTTCGACGTTGACTATCTCCAGCTCATCTCAGGTCATGAGGAGTTCTGGAGGAAACACCCTAAGTGGAGAATGTGGGTTAATTGCTGCAAGAGGCAATTGGAGCAGAATAGATCTTAGGAGGAGACACACCCTCTCTAAACCTCCTTCACAGTCCCCGGATCATGGAGAATTGGAGAAGATTCTCTGAGAGGTTTCAGAGAAGAGCAACTAGGATGATTAAAGGCCTGGAGACTAAAAGATATGAAGAATGGTTGCAGGAACTGGGTATGGCTAGTTTAGAGAAAAAAAGAACCAGGGGTGACTTAATAGCAATATATCCAGTATTTGAGGGGCTGCTACAAAGAAGAGGGGGTCAAACTATTTTCCAAAGCACCAGAAGGCAAGACAAGAAACAATGGATGGAAGCTAATCAAGGAGAGAAGCAACAAGAAACAATGGATGGAAGCTAATCAAGGAAAGAAGCAACAAGAAACAATGGATGGAAGCTAATCAAGGAGAGAAGCAACATAGAATTAAGGAGAGACTTGCTTAACAATGAGAACAATCAGTGGAACAACCCGCCTCTAGAAGTTGTGGATGCTCCAATACTGGAAATTTTAAAGAAGAGACTGGAAAGCCATTTGTTTGGAGTGGTATATAGGGTCTCCTGCTTGAGCAGACGGTTGGACTAGAAGACCTCCAAGGTCCCTTCCAGCTCTGTTCTGATTGATTGAAGAACCAAAGTGTGCATGCTAGCCATAATGCTATTTGTGACAGGAACAAGATTGAATTGAACTTGAATCGAGCTGAATCCAATTGGATACTTTATTTGGCCAAGTGTAATTAGACACACAAGATATTTGTCTCCGGTACAGAAGCACTCGGTGCTGATTTTTAATACCAATAAAAGGGGGGGGGAGCAAAGAAGATAATCAGGATAAATAATAATACCACAACCACACTTCATGGGTTGATATGCATAGACATTAGACCAGTGTTTCTCAACCTTGACAATTTTAAGGCATGTGGACTTCAACTCCCAGAATTCCATAGCCAGCATTGCTGGCTGTGGAATTCTGGGAGTTGAGGTCCACATGCCTTAAAATTGTCAAGGTTGAGAAACACTGCATTAGACAGCATTGTGAGAATTAGGGGGTGCAGGAGAGCGATGGTGCTGTTTTGGCCTGCAATGCTTTATAGCTGTGTCCTGAGGGAAGGAGTTGAAACATTTTATGTCTCAGGGTGGGAGGGGGTCTGCAGATATCCTTCTGACCCCACCCAATATACAAGTCTTCTGTGGAAGGCTGTCTGGTTGCAGTTGTTCTTTCTGCAGCCTTAACTATTATCTCTTGGAGTCTGTACTTGATAGTTAAGAAGAATGTGAGCTTGAGGGGACAAAAAAAAAAAGAAAAAGAAAAACCTGGCAGATTTTCTTCTGGAGAAGATAAGATTAGTTCTGATGGGCAATTAAGAAGGCTCCAGGCTAGAAAGATTGGCTGCTTACTATTTTTAGAAGCAACACAAAAGAAAAAAGGCTGTTGGTTGTATTCCTTTTCTTATCATAAATCTGAAGAAACCCAGGATTGTCTGCTGAAGATTATCTTCTGTGACTGCTCAAAAGAGAGTGAGAAAGACAGAGATTAGAAACCATGAAAAGTGATAGGTGAACTTGAACTCCCACCTTGCAGCAAGAGATTTTTAATAAATCACTCCAGCAGAGAGAAGTTTAGGTATGGCGAGGCACCAAGATTTGTGGATGTGGAGGCGGTTGATTTCTAGTGATTCATTGGAATATTTTTTTTTATTGTGGGCACACATTAAAAATGAAGTTCTGTTGCTTGCTCTCAAAAGTGTACACATAACACACATATAAACATGCTATATACAACATATGTATATATACCTACACCCTTACATATACAGTGATGGCCAAAATTGTGGAAACCTTTTGGGAAAAGTGTATTTTTGAGGTTTGATGGCTAATAACACTTTTTTTTGGAGTAGTACCATACAATTATATATCAATGGAAAGATAATTTAATCAAGAATGCAATGCAACAAAGTTTGTTCAATTATCTGTACTGTATTCTATGAAAAGTTATAGCCAAAGAACCAGAAAAAGGAAGCACAACTTGCTTAGGTTGATATCAGGTAGCTTTCCTTCATCTGATTGTAGCCAATGAGCATGAGTGTTTAGAGAGCCAATCGGGTGTCATCTTGTTTTGGCCATGAGCCAATCAGGTCACAGTAGGATTCAGTGATTGATGTCATGTATTGAAGCTGAGAGGAGGACATTTGTCAGTGTGTTATGTGATCACTATCAGTTGGTTGGGGTTTTTTTGTGTTCCTTCATTTAGCGAGCTTGTAAAACATAATAAAATTAAAGTAATGGTGCAAAGAGTTGACTGGTTGCCCAGAAAGCGATGTAAAATAATATTATTAAGTGAACAAGGCTACAGTTATAAAGAAATTAGAAGAAAAAATGGGTGGAAACTTAACCAAAGGTGGCATTTCTACTGTACACTTTCCCCAAAAGATTTCCACAATTTTGGCCACTACTGTAAATACATATAAATATTAATCACTGTTAATATTTTCATGTCTTTATGCAAGGATGTAGGTATATACATAGCTTGTATATAGCATGTTTATTTGTGTGTTATGTATGTCTACACTTTTGAGAGCAGGCAACAGAATTTCATTTTTAATGTGTGCCAGTGTTTCCACAGTAAAAAATGACAATAAAGGTTATCTTATCTTCTTCTGGTTTACAAACTGTCCATATTCTTGTCAAGCCTCTTTCAACACCAGCCCATCAACTGATTTCTCTATGAGAATTAAAAACACTGCCCTCCCTCTAGTCTTGACTTTGGTGGTCTTATCCTGATTAATATAAAAGAAAAATCTCACTTTCCCAATGATTATTTATTTGCTTAATAGTTAACTATGCATCCCCTCTTCCTCCAGATTTCCCCCCCTCCTCCATTGACAACTGTCTGATGTAAGTAAGCAATAGTGACTGGCTCAAAATCACTCAGTGAGCTTCTGTGTCAGAGGGTGGAATTAAACCTGCCTCCCCCCCTTTTTTTTTACAGTTTTAAAAATAAGTAAATATAGGTAGTCCTTGACTTACAACAGTTCATATAGTGACTATTCAAAGTTACAATGGCAATGAAAAAGGTGACTTTTACACAACCATTGCAGCATCCCCGTGGACACATGATCAAAATTCAGAGGCTTGACTCGTACCTATGGCAGTTGCAGTGTCCCAAGGTCACACAATCACTTTTTGTGATCTTCTGGCAAGCAAAGTCAGTGGGGAAGCCATGTTACTAACTTAACTTCTGCAGAGATTCACTTAACAACTATGGCAAGAAAGATCATAAAACTCACTTAACTAATGTTTTATTTAAGCAACAGGAATTTTGGACTCAATTGCGGTTGTAAGTTAAGGACAAGCCTGTATACAGTATATTCCAGATGAGGTGGTAGGAGCAAAAAGTTAAAAATTGCTCAAATAAATTCCAGATGAGAGAGTAGTCACCAAAAGTTGTCCCAAAGGTACTTCCCCCCCCCCAAAAGACAACTGGACTTTTGTTTTTTTTTTTTTCTTTGAAAAACATTTTGCATCCAAAAAGCATCTTCTCAGTTCTTCAGCTCTTTGCTTAGCTGAGAAGCAAAATATTTTCAAAGACAAAAAAAAAAACAAGACAGTCCAGTTGCCTTGGGGGGGGGGGGAAGCAACTTTGGGACACCATGACATAGATGATTGAGAATCAGTCTCCATAGACATTTAGCCCAAAGTTGTAACTTTTCTGAAAAATGAGCATGTCTTATTACTGTCTTGAAATCCACACCTATCTTTTTCTTTGTTTTTTTTTTCCCCTTAGGAAACAACCACTACAGAGGAGCTGGAACAGTTTGCTAAGGAACTGAAACACAAAAGAATTACCTTGGGCTTCACTCAGGCAGATGTGGGACTGGCCCTGGGTTTTCTCTATGGTAAGCAGTTGATTTTTAGGCTTGTTAAATTTTAAAGAAATGGAAACTTTTTTGAAGGTGGCACTTGAATAGCCCTGGCTCAGAATAATAGAACTTATATAGCACAAAAGAGTTGGAGGGAGGCCAGCTGAGCTAAAGAGATGTGTTACATTGAATTAATCTTGATTTGTTGATAAGATTGACCCATTAGTCCGAGCAGTAGTTCCAAAGTGGGAATCATCTCTCCTTTAATGCATTGTTATCTAACAAGGGATACTCCTTTTGTTGTTGTTGTTGTTAACTGTGAAGTTGTGTCCGACCCATCACGACCCCATGGACAACGTTCCTCCAGGTCTTCCTGTCCTCTACCAATACTCCTTTTAGAGCTTTTTATTTTAAAAGGTGTAACTGGCACCTAATTTGCAGGGAATTTTTTTTTTAAAAAGTGTTTTGATTTATCAATTAAATCTTGTTATAGCATTTCCAGAGACATTGCTCACTGTCTACTCTATAGGATTTTTTTCTGAGACCTGGAATCCATTCCTTCCTTCCTTCCTTCCTTCCTTCCTTCCTTCCTTCCTTCCTTCCTTCCTTCCTTCCTTCCTTCCTCCCTCCCTCCCTCCCTCCCTCCCTCCCTTCCTTCCTTCCTTCCTTCCACCCTCCTTCCCTCCCTCCCTTCCTCCCACCCACCCTCCCACCCTTCCTCCCTCCCTCCCTCCTTCCTTCCTTCCTCCTTCCCTCCCTCCCTCCCACCCACCCTTACTCCCTCCTTCCCTCCCTCCCTCCCTCCCTTCCTTCCTTCCTTCCTTCCTTTCCCCCCCTCCCTCCCTTCCTCCCACCCACCCTTCCTCCCCTCCCTCCTCCTTCTTCCTTCTTCCTCCCACCCACCCTTCCTCCCATCCTCCCTCCTCCTTCCTCCCACCCTCCCTTCCTCCCCCTCCCTCCCTCCCTCCCACCCTCCCTCCCTCCTCCCTCTCTCCCTCCCACCCTCCCACCCTTCCTTCCTTCCTTCCTCCCTCCTTCCTTCCTTCCTTCCTTCCCTCCCTTCCTTCCTTCCTCCCTCCCACCCTCCCACCCACCTCCCACCCACCCTCCCTCCCAAATAAGTAGAGAGCCTAATTTCATTTGGTTTTCTACTGAATAATTGTGCATTTGAATCTAAAATGTATGGAAAACACTGGGCAAGAAGTTGGCTTAGAAAGCATTTAAAGATTCTTCCAACACTTAAATTATTAGCAAAGTAGTTGACAACAATATTGAATATTCCCTATTTTTCTTTAGTTACTACAAAGCATGAATGCTTTAAGTCAATGAGACTGAGTTCTGACCTTTATAGGATTCTCTTCATTAATGCTTATTGCAGATCAGCTTCTGACCTACTAGATTCCTCTTGTAAATATCAATGTTCTTTTTTTTTTATTTACTCATGCAGGGAAAATGTTTAGTCAAACCACCATCTGCCGCTTTGAAGCTTTGCAACTCAGCTTCAAGAACATGTGTAAGCTGAAGCCTCTCCTTCAGCGTTGGCTTCAAGAGGCTGATGGCAATGAGAATTTGCAGGAGGTGAGTTCCTAGCATGGATGCAAGCATATCGTGTCCCCAGGACCTGAAAGAATTCTTCATTTGGGAGGCTAAGTTATTAATTGTTACCAGGAATTATTAATAGTGGCATCTCACTGAGAGTTCTAGGCAAATGTGAGCCTGCCCTCTTTCCCAAGGAGTATAGAATTTAAAGGGTTTTGTTTAATGTTTGAAATGAAAAGAGCATCATTCAGAATTGTGGTGGTGCAGAATGTCATGAACAGTTTGTTATTTCAAAAGGGATCTGCTGATTGGAAATTCAGAGCATCTCCTGAACAGTGAGACTTATACCCCCCCCCCCCCCAAAAAAAAGGCAGGAACACTATTTTCTCACATTTTACACATCCTGCAGTACAGTTTTGACTTGGAGTGATAAAATGAATTAATCGATGGAATAGCTTGTCTCTCGGAGTTGTAGGTGCTCCATTACTGGAGGTTTTCAAAAATAAACTGGACAATCATTTGACCAGGATGGTATAAGGCAGGGATAGGCAACCTTGGCTCTTTTATGACTCATGGACTTCAACTCCCAGAATTCCTGAGTCAGCTGCTGACTCAGGAATTCTGGGAGTTGAAGTCCATGAGTCATCAAAGAGCCGAGGTTGCCTACCCCTGGTATAAGGTCTCCTGCCTAGAGCCAGGGGATTGGACTAGAAGACCTCAGATTCTATGTTCTAAGCATGGGAAGAGCAGGCTGGTGAAAAAGTTGCAAAGCTCGAGTTTTGGCTGCAGTAGCAAAGGAAATTGGATTGCTATATAGCTCAACAAAGATACAGTTTGGTTATGTAGATCAGCTTCCTTCATTCACTGGAACTTGAATGTTCTTTAGCAGGGATTATCAATCTAATGCAGTGGTTCTCAACCTTTTTAATGCCGCGACCCCCCAACTGGTTGTAAGTCGAGGACTACTCAACCGGTCGTAAGTCGAGGACTACTCAACTGGTGCAGCACCGTTTGCAGAATGGGACTTTTGGCGGGTTCAGCAGGGCAGAGATAGCTTGGACAATTCCTATTGGCCTTTGAAAGCCAATAGAATTAAACTCTATTCAAGCGAGTCTATTCTATTGGCTTTCAAAAGCCAATAGAATAAAAGGGAGTAGCACAGCTAAGGAAAAGGGGAAAAAATGGCGGACTGCGTTGTTTGGCGACCCCGTGAAATGCTCATTTGACCCCAAATGGGGTCCCAAACCTACAGGTTGAGAACCACTGCTCTAATGTCTCTCATGTCACTATTTAAAGCTCTCTAATAGTGCTCGTTAATTCCTTAGTAACGATCAATTGAATGCTCTGTAACTATGCTACCACAGCATCAAAATCTACACGCATTTTATATTACCCTATTATTCATTTCTGCTATGTCATTACTAAATGGGGGGGGGAAGAAGCAGAAAGAAAGCAGAAAACAAAATTTCGCACCTTTTCTAAGGCAGAGTTGAGCAGGAATGAATGAAATAGCCCCCCTAAAATGCAAGCATTACATAAAAGTTGCAAAACAATTCAACCCAGAAAGACACAATGAACAATACTTTGATTTTTTTGCATATAGTGGAAAGGGAAATAAATGGAATTTGAAAATACGTTAAAAAGAGGAGAAAAGAAATTTTAGAGAAATTGAATAAGAAATTTCTTTCTGTCTTCATTGTTGAAAATGTAGAACATCCTTGACTGAGTTTTCTCAAGAAGGAAATCAATTGAACTGAGCGATGAAGTGAGAACCTTAATTAAAAATGGGCTTTATGTCCATTCTGGATAAAATGTTGAAAAAATTATTAAAGATGAAATCATTTTAACATTCAGAACAAATCTTGTTGAAAAGGAACTAAAGTGGCCCCCTCAGAGTCTTGTCTCGTTAACTTTCTTTTTAGGATGTCAACAAAAATGTAGATGGGGTAATTTAGTAGACAGCATACTTGTGCTTTTGACATTTTTCTTGTGTAAAGTTTGTAATCAAAATTCAACAGCCATTACATAAAAGGGAGATGCTTTCTAGAAAAAAAAAACAGAAGAATTAAAAACGAACCCTTTTCAAATTAGATATTCAAAAAAAAGAGTCCTTCATGGATCAACTGCTTTTTAAATAGTTTCTATATGCTTAAGTGGAGAGTAAGATAAGGAGATCACATTAGTTGATACTATCGGACAATTTTCATGGTAGTAAAATCGAAATAAGAGTACAGAAACCCCACAAGGATTTTCCCAAGCTGGTGAATGGACTTCAGAAAAGCAAATATAGTTCAATACATGTAAATGCAAAATGAGGCACGCCAGCACGAAAAATTCAGTTTCCACGTCCAGTATTGGGACTTGAGATGCCATGATTTTGAGATCATGGTGGATGACATATTAACTCATGGTTTGCTGCTTTAAAAGGGGACATTCTATGCTTGGAATCACTGAGAATGGAATTTAGAATTAAACTTAACAACGAATGGAAAGATCACTCTTGGAATATTGCATTGACTTCTGGTCACAACATCTCCAGAAGTATATTGTAGAGCTGGAAAAAGGTGTGAACATGACACAGATATTCCTTTGCTAGTAAAGGGTAAAGGTCATCCTTTAGAGAGGAACTACAGATTCAGAAGCCACCGTACAGAGTTAAATTATGAAAATCACTGTCATCAGACATGATGATAGTTGCCATTTTAGATCATTTTGAATGGGACAAATTCAAGTAGATCCAGGCTATCCATGACTCCTAAACCAGGGGTGTTCAACCTTTTATGACTTGTGGACTTTCAACTCCCAGAATTCCTCAGCCAGGCATGCTGGCTGAGGAATTCTGGGAGTTGAAGTCCACAAGTCATAAAAGGGCCAAGTTTGAACATCCCTGTCCTAAACTTTATGGTTGTTTACTCTTCCTGAATCATAGGTAACAGCTGGTTGAGATTAACAGTAGAAGAAACAATCAGCCTCTGCTCTGGGCTGTTGAGCTTTCTAAGTGCGTCTTGGTTGGCCATTCTGCGAGGCAGAATTTTCATCTAGATCAGGGGTGTCAAACTCACAACGTCACGTGATGTGTCGCGATGTATCACAACTTTTTTTTCCGTTGCCGGCAATGGGGTGGGTACGGTTTCGCTATGATGCATCCGGCCCATGGGCCAGCAGTTTGACACCCCTGATCTAGATAGTCCATTGACTTAATCTAGCACAGGGGTTCTCAACCTTGTCAACTTTAAGACTTGTGGACTTCAACTCCAAACTCCCAAAGCTGGCTGAGGAATTCTGGGAGTTGAAGTCCACAAGTCTTAAAGTTGACAAGGTTGAGAACCCCTGATCTAGCAGATATGCTCTTTTATCCTGACATGGGAAAGAAAATGTGTGCAGATTTTGGAAGGAGAGGACGCAGAGTTGGAGATGGTAGAGGAAATTGGTGACTAGAAAGTTTCCTAGGTTTGGGGATAAAAGGAATATCCAGTTTGGATCTGTCGCTCGTTGAAAAATGGGTCAAAGGGAGGGCTTTACAAAATGGGGGAGAGGACAGCAGGTTTAAATGGAGGGATGGGATAAGGTTAGGGTGACAGGGCAGATAGTCCTTGATTTATAGCCATCAGTTTAGTAATCATTCGAAGTTACAACAGCATTGGAAAAAGTGACTTACAACCATCTCAGCCTCCCCATGGTCACATGATCAAAATCCAGGCCTTGGCAATCATCATGCATTTGCGATGGTTGCCACATCTTTGGGTCATGCGATTGCCATTTGCCACCTTCCCGACGGACTTCTGAAAGCAAAAGTTAATAGGGGGAAGCCAGATTCACTTAATGATCATACATCGGCAGTGATTTGCTTAACAACCCTGACAAAAAAAAGATGTAAAACCCCGTGCGACTCAACAAAACCGTGCGGCTTGGCCACAAAAACGTTGACATTCAATTGTGATCGTAAGTTGAACATTACTTCTAGGCAGAAATGACAAGGATAGAGAGAGGGAGAATTAAAAAGACCAAAGGATACCAAGGAAGAACGTTTAGCCTGTTGGAATGGGACTTATCCCAGCATAGGTTGCTCACTCTTGTAAGTAGCAGATCCTGGAGACATCTGAAGCGTGATGCAATCTGGGTCAGTCATCTCTACGTGACACAGAGAAGTTCCTTGAAGATGGGCTCCAGCATGAATCCGAAAGCTCAGAAGAACAAACTTCTGGTCCCAGTGAACCTTATTTGCCTTCATTTATGACATCTGAAGTGCTTCATGATGCCTTAGAACAGAGGTCCCCAACCTTTTGAGCACCAGGGACCGGCTCCGTGGAGAGAGATTTTTCCACGGACAGGAGAGTGCATGGTTTTGTGTGCTGCCTGCATCTCGCAGATGAAGCTTTTCTTGTTTGTGCAGACTGGTTGCTGGCATGCTGCGGCCCGGTACCGGTCCACGGACCAGGGGTTGGGGACCCCTGCCTTAGGAGAGCCTGTATATTTAGCCCTTTTTGTTTTTTTTTTTGCTCCCTCTGTGGCTGTGATAACTTTAAATGGAGGTGAAGAAGGCATTCTCTATTGCAGTGGTTCTCAACCTTTTTAATGCCGCGACCCCCAACCGGTGGTAAGTCGAGGACGACTCAACCGGTGGTAAGTCGAGGACGACTCAACTGGTGCAGCACCGTTTGCAGAATGGGACTTTTGGCGGGCTCAGCAGGGCAGAGACAGCCTGGACAATTCCTATTGGCTTTTGAAAGCCAATAGAATTAGACTCTATTCAAGAGAGTCTATTCTATTGGCTTTCAAAAGCCAATAGAATAAAAGGGAGTAGCACAGCTAAGGAAAAGGGGAAAACAAAATGGCGGACTGCATTGTTTGGCGACCCCCGTGAAATGGTCGTTCGACCCCAAATGAGGTCCTGACCCACAGGTTGAGAACCACTGCTCTGTTGGGTGGGTCAGAAGGGGTGGTGATCTTCAAGCAGTGGCACCAAATATAGCTCTCATCCTCTGTGCAGCAGCTGTGCTCCATGGAGTCGGCCATGATCCAGGCCCGGAAACGCAAGCGCACCAGCATTGAGAACAACGTGCGGGGTTCACTCGAGTCGTACTTTCTGCGCTGCCCCAAACCCAACCTGCAGGAGATTTCACAGATTGCTGATGACCTCTGCCTGGAGAAGGATGTGAGTGATCCCCATCTTATTGCATTTCCCCAAGCATCCAACCATCTCAGTGCACTAAATCCTAGCTCTCCAGGATAAGAGATTTTGGTGTCCTGATTCGAAGTGTGCATACTTTTTTGTTTTGTTTTATTTTGATTTACAGCTTGGGAAAAATCAGGCTGACAATTTTGAGTGGGTTGCATTCCAAAAGAACAAAACACTTCCTTTTAAAATATAAATATTATTATGTATATTTTACCTTGGCAAACAATTCTTGTTCTGCCCTGGGGTCAAAGAAGAAGTTAGAGTGATAGTCTATTCTGAGTACTTCCAGCTACCTAATTTAGAGAAAAATTGGTTTAGAACCGGGGTGTCAAACTTAATATAGTATAATAGTAGTAAAGTTGGAAGGGACCTTGGAGGTCATCTAGTCCAATCCCCTGCTCAGGCAGGAAACCCTACACCATTTCGGACAAATGGCTGTCCAGTCTCTTCTTAAAAACTTCCAGTGTTGGATCATTTACTGCTTCTGGAGGCAGGCTATTCCACTGATTAATTGTTCTCACTGTCAGGAAGTTTCTCCTTAGTTTTAGGTTGCTTCTCTCCTTGATTAGTTTCCACCCGTTGCTTCTTGTCCTGTCTTCAGGTGCTTTGGAGAATAGCTTGATTCCCTCTTTATGGCAGCCCCTGAGATAAAGAAGAGGGAATTAAGCTATTTTCCAAAGCACCTGAAGGCAGGACAAGAAGCAACGGGTGGAAACTAATCAAGGAGAGAAGCAACCCAGAACTAAGGAGAAACTTCCTGACAGTGAGAACAATTAACACTTGCAACATTACATGACATGTCGCGATGTATCATGACTTTTTTTCCATTGCCGGCAATGAGGTGGGCGCGGTTTCGCTATGATGCATCCGGCCCACAGGCCGGCACTTTGACATCCCTGGTTTAGAAGACGATTTTTTCAGGTTGGGTGATAAGAGTACTCTGCACAGATTACTTACTTTTTCAGGATAAAAGTAAGGGAACAGTATGGTTACTGCAGAACCCATAGAACAAAGATGTTCTGGCATATTGTCAAAGCTTAGGGCAAAATGCCAAAATGTGAGGTATTTTCTTCTGAGTTCAGGACACTCTACCTGTCAATCTGGAAAAACCTCAAGTGACGTAATAACCCTGTGATTGTCATAATAGACCTATCCTCTTTAATTTGAAAAAAGGTTTGCCTGTTGAATTACAGTTCCATTACACCTGATTGTAAGCACTCTTTTCAACTTGGTGGCACTAAGATGTGTTGGAGTATAATTTCTACAGGCTCTCTAAACACTCATGCTCATTGGCTACAATCAGATGAAGGAAAGCTACCTACTATCAACCTAAGCAAGTTGTGCTTCCTTTTTCTGGTTCTTTGGCTATAACTTTTCATAGAAAACAGTACAGATAATTGAGCAAACTTTGTTGCATTACATTCTTGATTAAATTATCTTTCCATTGATACATAGTTTTATAGTACTACTCCCCCCCCCAAAAAAAACCCTCAAAAATACCCCTTTCCCAAAAGGTTTCCACAATTTTGGCCACTACTGTATAATTCTAACCCAGGATGACAAGACAAGTTTTATTTAGTTGCAGAAAATATTTTTTTTCTCTTTCTGGCCATTGTTTATTGTTTATATATGCTAAAGTTGAATTCCTGCTTCTGGCTCTTAACATTGTGGTGATGAGCCTAAAGCTATTCCCATCATACAACTCTTGAGATTGTGTTCTACTAGCATCAACCAGACAGATGCCTCTGGAACAGTGGTTCTCAACCTTTTTAATGCCGTGACCCCCCAACCGGTCGTAAGTCGAGGACTACTCAACTGGTCGTAAGTCGAGAACTACTCAACTAGTGCAGCACTGTTTGCAGAATGGGACTTTTGGCGGGCTCAGCAGGGCAGAGACAACCTGGACAATTCCTATTGGCTTTTGAAAGCCAATAGAATTAGACTCTATTCAAGAGAGTCTATTCTATTGGCTTTCAAAAGCCAATAGAATAAAAGGGAGTAGCACAGCTAAGGAAAAGGGGGAAAAAATGGCGGACTGCGTTGTTTGGCGACCCCCGTGAAATGGTCGTTCGACCCCAAATGGGGTCCCGACCCACAGGTTGAGAACCACTGCTCTGGAAATATATAAAGATCACAGCAACCTCTACTCACAATCTTTGTTCTAAGAACATACCTGCAGAGATTCTCAATCATCCAGGTCATGGCTGTCCCAAAGACAACTGGACTTTCTTGGTTTTTCCTTTGAAAACACTTCGCTTCTCATCCCAGAAGCTTCTTCTGTTCTCAGAATGCAGTATAAGAGCAATCTTGATGGATCAGTTCAGGTTCCATATAGCCTAGCATCAATGTCCCATAATAGTCAGCCAGATGCTAAGGAAAATACAGGCACAAATGAATCTGCTTGTGTTTCCAAGCATCTATAGGTAGTCCTCAACTTATGACCAGTCATTTAATGTTATGACAGACCCCAACAAAGGGACTTGCATGACCCAGATGTCCCAACATCTGTCTTCACCTCCTATGGTCATGTTAACCGCATTTTGGGCACTTGGCAATTGACCCACATTTAGGGCCATTTGCACCACCCTGGGGTCATATTATTGATTTATATTTTTCCTGAGAACCAGCATGGACTTCTGATTTCCAGAAAAACCCGCCCCATAACAAACAATGGGTTCATTTAATGACCGTGGCTTTTAACAACCACTGCAAAAAAATCCATTGTCACAGAGTGACTTGCTTTACACCCTCAGTTACAGTCATAAATTGAGGACTACCTGAACTCTACACATAAGGGAAGTCCTACTGATTAAATGAGACTACATCTTGTCTCTTGATTGCATTGTTGCCACTTTCTGCACTCTTTTCCAGCTCTGATTGCCAGTTATTTGGGAGATTACTTGACTGTTTACAATATTCTGTAACTTCTGAAAGTTCTGAAACTTGAGCTGGCCACGAACAAGGAGTGTATATCAGAGGTGGTGACCCTTGAGAGCCATATGCCACGAAATTTCATTTTGATATATGTCAATTGGTGTACATTCAAAGTGACAATAAAGTTGTTACTACTATTACTATTATTATGGATCATGGCACAGTCAGCCAGATGTTCAGACTGGATTTGGCATTTTGTCTACCTATCGAGTCCTTACCCAGGACCTGAGATAGGCAGATGTGAATGTTTGATGGTATTACAGATATCGTCGCAGGATGGAAGCAGTTCCTAGTAAGGCCGCCTTTTGCAATTGACTAATAGCGAATTTGTCAATGCCAATGGTGTTCAAGTGGTGCTCCAGTTGTTTTGGGATTGCACCCAAGGAGCCTATGACTATTGGTACTACCCTTGCTTGCTTTTGCCACAGTCTTTCTATTTCTATTTGTAGGTCTTTGTATTTTGTTATCTTCTCCAGTTCTTTCTCTTCTATTCTGCTATCTCCAGGCACTGCCACGTCCACTATCCAGACTTTTTTGTCTTTCTTATCGACAATTGTTAAGTCTGGGGTGTTATGTTGCAGGTGCTTGTCTGTTTGAATTCTGAAGTACCAGAGCAGTTTAATTTTATCATTTTCTATGACTTTCTCTATTTTATGATCCCACCAGTTTTTGCTTACAGGCAAATGATATTTTTTGCAGATCTTCCAATGCACCATTGTTGCTACTTTGTCATGCCGCTGCTTGTAGTCAGTCTGTGCAATCTTCTTGCAACAGCTTACCAAGTGGTCCACTGTTTCTTCAGTCTATTACTATTATTATTATTATTATTATTATTATTATTATTATTATTATTATTATTATTATTCCAAGAGTGGCTGCATTTGTGCCCATTTATATGCTGGCATTATGCTAATTAAAAATTAAACACTGACTCTACTGGCACAAGACACTTTGATGAAATTGTTTGTATTTTGAGTCTCAAGTTCCTTTCTTCCATCATCCACAAATAATTTAGGTCCTGGGATACTTGGGAGTCAATGGGATATCTTCAGATAAAAGGTAGTCCTTGGGCTATTCGCTTAGGGATCGTTCAAAGTTACAGGGGCATTTAAAAAAGTGACTTACACCTGGTCCTCGCACTTAAAACTGTCGCAGCATCCCATGAGCAAAATTCAGATGTTGGCAACTGTCTCATATTTATGACGGTTGCAGTGTCATGTGATCACAGTGTCAGTGGGGATTCACTTAACAACCGTATTACTGGCTTAACTGCAGTGTTTCACTGTGGCAAGAAAGATCATAAAATGGAGTAAAATTCACTTTGGGTCATGGCTGTCCCAAAGGTACTTTTTCAAAAGGCAACTGGACTTCCCTTTGTTTTGCTTGAAGACATTTCACTTCTCATCCCAAGAAGCTTCTTTGGTTCTACATTGTCTCTTAAAATCTCCCATGATTCCTGTTTAAAGGATGTGAACTAAATCTGAGAACACTCTGACTGCCCTGTTCAGTAGATGTCAGGGTTGTCAAAACCAGAGATTAACAGATTTTCTTCTACTGTTGGGCAGGTGATATAGAGTCCTTCTAGAGCAGGGTTCTTCAAACTTGACCCTTTTATGTCTTGTGGACTTCAACTCCCAGAATTCCTCAGCCAGCCTGCCTGGCTGAGGACTTCTGGGAGTTGAAGTCCACAAATCAGAAAAGGGCCATGTTTGAAGAGTCCTGTTCTAGAGGGTGGGCTGTGCAAGGAACTATGAGGGGAAGATCATTGTGGAGAGCATTAGCACAGTCCTCTGTCTCTCAACATATCAGCTTTATCATAGGCCCTGGTGGCACAATGGTTGGAATGCAGTATTGCAGGCAAACTCTGCCCACAGCAGGAGTTCAATACTGACGAGGCTCACGGTTGACACAGCCTTCCATCCTACCGAGGTCGGTAAAATGAGGACCCAGATTATTGGAGGCAATACGCTGACATTATAAACCACCCAGAGGGCTGTAAAGCGCTATGGGGCAGTATATACAGTAAGTCTAAGTGCTCTTGCTATAACTTACATGTACTTTGTCTCGTCTCTCATCCCTGTAGGTAGTACGTGTCTGGTTTTGCAACCGCCGCCAAAAGGGCAAGCGCAACACAGGTGCTGGGTCTCGGGATGAGTGCGATGGTCCTACCGTCCCCCAAGCATGCCCCCATGGGCCACTCCAAGCTCCGCCCCATGGGCTTGGCCCTGTCCATCACCAGCTGCCTCCACCACCCCAGGGCTACAACACAACTGCCTTTGCTGCCGTTTACGTGCCCCAGTTCCACGAAGGAGATGTTTTTATCGCTCCCACCCCGACCTCGGCTGTAATGGGCCACCCAATGCATTCCACCTGAGGAGCCTGTCTAGCCAACCTCGGTGTCTTAATTTTTAATCTCAGGGAGGTCCTCCAGCCATTTTCTTTCTATTTCTTAGATTTGTTATCCTTCAGGAAAGGAAGAAGAGGCCAAAGCTTAGGTTTTTGTCCGTCTTTCTTTTACACTCAGGGATGCAGAACTTCTTGGTGAGGCTTTTCTAATCAGGGTTTTAAAAAAAGATTTTTACAATGATGTCCTATATATTTTGAAAAAGCAACAGCTGCTTCTGAAAGTGGCTCTCATTCCCAACCCTTTTTGTCTCCTCAGGATCCATTAACAGTTGGTCTTTATTAGTTTGGTGTGCACACGTTGACCCACCCCAAATCCAGATGCTTCTGTCTTCCAAGGACCAAGCAGATTTTGGGGAATGGACCATAACTGGATAGCATTGACCACTTTTAATTAATGCATGTTGAGATGGTAGGGCTTATAAAGGCTTTTCATAACTATCCAACACAAAGCCATGTGATTTTGAGGTTCACTTCTTTGTGAACCTGAAAAATCCCATGGTTTTGTGATCTTCTTTGTGGAACACAACTCCCCTGCAGATAGAAAGGACTTGGGTTTCATTTTTCTCCTCTCCCTCCCCATCCTATCATTTAGTACAAAATTTCTTTGATGGGTGACCTGTGTCCAAGCATTCTTGTGTCCAAATGTGTGCGATCTAACCAAAAAGCTTACTGAAATCTTTTGGTTTGGTTCTTTGTCCACCCGAGATGGAGAGCCCTTAGTTGTGTCCCCAGAAACATTCCCCTTTTTGACTTTGACTGCCATTGCAGTCATCAAAATATCAGATTCCAGATGCTGCCTTTTTCTCCTGAGTACACACAAGATGCTGGATATGCATCTTCTCCCTCTCTGAAAATCCACACTCTTAGAGACACAAGAACGCATGGTATGAGATATATTTTGAGCAGGATATTTTTTCAAGGGCCAGATGTCACGTTTTTCCTCCCTGCCCTGCTACAAATTCAAAAGCAGGCCAATACATCAAAGGAAAAAAAAACCAAACATGGAAAAGGAAGCTAGCTCTAAATATTGAAAGTCATAACCCGTTCCTCATTTCTTTCGTAACGTACTATTGTATCTGGCATGGGAGAAGAATGTTGGTGGCAGTATTATTTTAATCATAACTTCATAATGATTTAACTTTGTATTTGATTTTCCTAATTTGTTCAATTGTTTGCATGACATAAGAGGCCTCTATTAAAAAAATCTTGACTGATTTAACATAAGCATGAAAGTGTTTTTTTTTAAATCAGGAGTATCTTTGTATCAAGAAAGTTGCACTGGCCACAATTAAACCAAGCAAATACCCCTTTTCTTTGTTTTCCTGGCCTGTGGATTACTTCACACATCATACTAGTTCAAATGGTCTAGTTTGCACACACCAATGCATGCTATGGATCAGTGTTGCAAAATCAGGACACCAGGGGTTACTCAAACCATAGCTTGTGGCCAATATCACTCCGTACATAAAAAGTGCTGTCCATAAACATCAGGCACGCTGGCTGAGGAATTCTGGGAGTTGAAGTCCACAAGTCATAAAAGGGCCCAAGTTTGAAGACCCGATAAACATGATTGACCTCAATGTTTATCCACATCTCTCTGAATCCAGGTGCCTATTATTTGGGGATGGAGGAATGCAGTGTGCATACCATTTACAGTTTTGTATTCAGGTAGTCCTCAAATTACAACAGTTCATTTAGTGACTGTTCAAAGTCACAACAGCACTGGAAAAGTGTGGCTTATGACTGTGTATCACACTTATGACTGTTACATCAGCCTCATGGTCACGTGATCAAAATTCAGGTGCTTGTCAACTGACTCAATTATGATGGTTGCGCTTACGTGGGTTATGGGATCACCTCTGGCGACCTTCCGGCAAGCAAAGTCAATGGGGAAGCCAGATTCACTTAGCAACCATATTACTAACTCAACACCTGCAGTGATTCACTTAACAACTGCAGCAAAAAAGGTTGTAAAATGGGGCAAAACTCACTTGACAACTGCTCTGCTTAGCGACAGAAATTTTGGGCTCAATTGTGGTCATAAGTCAAGGACTACTTGTTAATGACAAAACGTCATTAATTCCTACTCCATGCTTTCTAATCAATTGCCCATAAGGGGATTCTCCTGATCTCCTGGTTGCAACTTTTATTTGAATACCGGCAACTTACCAAGTCATTTTGCAGAGAGACCACTCTTGGGATGAGTCTTAGCATTAACACTCTTTATTTGGCATGTGCATACGGTATATCTAAGTGCAGTAGAAGCCCCAGGGGTTGTGTTTGTCCACAACCACCTCCATGGAAAATAGATGAGCCAAGAATGACTAGCCCAAAGTCACCCAGCAAGCTGTAGTTACATAGTTACATTTTTTTTTGCGCTTATTGGCATAATTGCTTTCCAATTAATCAGATCGAGAACTTCATTTATTATTCAGTTTCTGGGCTAGTTTTTTTTTCTTGAAATTATTGGTTGATATTTTTTTCTGGAAGTGAAGAGGAACTTTATATGTCCTTTGACACCTGAAGTAGTAAAAGAGGGAGGGAGGGAAGGAAGGAACAGGAAGAAAGCAGTTAACATAAGAGCCGAGGTGGCGCAGCAGTTAGAGTGCAGTACTGCAGGCCACTTTAGCTGACTGTGTTCAGCAGGTCAGCGGTTCAAATCTCACCGGCTCAAAGTTGACTCAGCATTCCATCCTTCCGGGTAGGTAAAATGAGGACCCAGATTGTTGGGGGCAATGTAAATATATATATACATTGCTTACTGGTGTACACCGCTTAGAGAGTGCTTGCACTTAAAGCGGTATATAATAAATAAATAAATAAATATGATAATGACTGGATTGGGCTCAGCATACTGTGTGAATTGTTCAACTCTACTCAAAGCTTCATGTTATCTTAGCTTCCTCCTTAAGTTTCTAGATCACTTCCAATTATATTTCTGCAATTTTGCCATTAGCATCCCAAATGCTACCGATGCACGGGGTTTTCTCTGCCAGTCCCTCCGAGGAGTTCAGGGGCACAAAACTCTGTGAAACTCTTTCCAGGAAATCCCAGCTTTGGTATTTGTGGATTTCAATTCCCAGCCTTCTCAGCAATGCCCATGCTGGCTGAGGCATTATGGCAACAGTTTTTTTTTATTAAATAATTACACCCATGTGCCATGCCCCCTTCCCCCCAATGTACATGTGGTGAATCCAGATGACTTACAAAATTAAAACAAGGTTGGGGAACAGTTGTTTAGGATAGGAAGATGCTGAACAAGCCCTGAATGTAATCCAGTGGGATAAAATGACATGTTGGTTGAAAAAAATGGGAAGTAACAAAAATTAAACCGAGTTGTATAAAAGATAGACTATCTAGATGGGGAACTAGAACTCTCTTTGCTGCAATATCTTTCAGGCAGATTTTTTTAAAATTATTATTATTATAACATTGGGATATTTGAGTGAGTATCTCTGCAGAATTTCTGCCGTATATGCTGGACGCCTCCACTCAAGGTTTACCATTGCTTAAATAATACAGGCAGTTCTTGACTTATGGCCTCAGTCAAGCTCAAAATTTCCCTTGTTAAACAAGACAGTCGTTAGGTGAGTTGTGCCTCATTTTATGATCTTTTTTTGCCACAATTGTTTAGTGAATCGCTGCAGTTCTTAAGTGAATCATGCAACCATTAAGCAAATCTGACTTAGCCCTATTGACTATTTATCAAGTCAGCTACGACTTAAGAAATGGTGATTCACATGACACACACATATACACACACACCGGGGACAGTATGACTGTCAAAAATGCACGCCTGTTGGTGTGCACGCAAAGTTTTGATCATGTGACAAGGATGCTGCAACTATGGCAAGTGTGAAAAATGGTAACGAGTCACTTTGAACGTAATGAATGTTACTTTGAGGATTACCTGTACTGTATTGAGCAAAAGACACCCATGAGGCCATTTCATATCAAAAAGGAAGCTAGAAAGGAACAGGAGGACAACACTAAAAAAAAAAAACCCTCACTCCACCTTTTAAAGTTCTCACAAGGGACTTGTAATGCAGGATCCAAGCTGGGTCGGTAACCAGGACCAGAGGTTTTAGTCTTCTGGGTTTTCGGGTTATCAGAATGTGGGCTTTGGGTTGTTTTATGCCAGGGGTGTGGAACCTTGGCTCTTTTATGACTGGTGGACTTCAACTCCCAGAATTCCTGAGCCAGCTATGCTGAGGGGAAAAGGAGGTTTCCAAGCTGAGCCATGCTGGCTCAGGAATTCTGGGAGTTGAAGTCCACGCGTCATAAAAGAGCCAAGGTTCCACACCCGTTCTATGTATAGTAATTCACATTCTGGTAGAGAGAAGTTCCCTGAGGATGGGCTCCAGCATGACTCCGAAAGCTTGGAAGATTAAACCTGTGGTCCCAGTGACCGACCAAGAGTAGAATCCTGCAACCTTACCCTGAGGCACAAATACAGGTAGTCCTCGACTTACAACGGTTCACTTAGTGACCATTCAAAGTTATGGCCCTGAAAAAAGCGACTTAGGACCCTTTTTCACACTTATGACAGTTGCAGCATATGATTAGAATTCAGATGCTTGGCAACTGACTCATATTTATGACGGTTGCAGTGTCCTGGGATCATGTGATCCTCTTTTGCGACCTTCTGACAAGCAAAGTCAATGAGGAAGCCAGATTCACTTAACAGCTGTGTGACTCACTTAACAAGTGCAGTGATTCAGTTAACAAATGTGGCAAGAAAAGGTTGCAAAATGGGGCAAAATTCACTTAACAAATGTCCCAGCAACATAAATTTAGGGCTCATAAGTCGAGGACTACCTGTATTTGTGAAGTTGGTAGTATCTGAGATCACAGCGAGAATGTTGAGCATTCTTTCAACAAGTGAAAACCGTAATTACGCTGCCATAAGACTGTTTTCAAGGAAAAACAATTAGTTTGAACACCTCTAGTCTTATCCCATTTATGCAACCACTAAGTTTGTAGTTTAGGTTTATTTCAATGCTAAGATAAGATCAAGCCTGTTGCAAGATGAGAAATATTGTTACAGGAAAAGGATATCCTTCCTTCCTTCCTTCCCCCTTAAAAAGGCAAAAACAAGCTTGCCAAATGCACAAGAATAAAAATTTAATGCCTCTTTTTTCCTAAATTACGGAAGTCTTTGGTTGAGTTTCTTGTTTGCTTCTGTGGCAGCAATTTCCCTGTAAACCTACAGGAGTAGCTTATTTTTCATTTTGGCATATTAAAAAGCGGGTTTCCCAGATTGAGTCACTGGAGGCGGCAAATGCGAGCAAATGCGCTGCACAGAAGTCTGATAGTGAAGCCAAGATGAACAGAAACGGGATTGAAATTAAGAATCGCCTTTCCTTTTTTAACTGCAAAGTGCTTTGGTTGACACATCTTGAGAAAACAAAGCAGCCACTGGGGCAGAACTTATGGTTTACAGCAAATATCCTTTTTCGAGAGGGGTTCAGCTTTTGATCTCCTGTTGTGTCTTTTGCTAGCAGAAGCCTTACAATGTATGTGAACAGATTCCCCCGGAGATGGAGCCCACTTCTAGCCCTTTCCCCAGGTTGAAGATTCTTCATTCTGTGGCTTGACCAGTCCCGTCTTCCCTCCTAAGCTGGAAGATACGGTTCGTTCCAGATGTGTAGCCGAGAGAGGCTGGGATCTGCTGTTCAACATCTAGACAAGCACAGATTCCCCGTCGTTTGGCATTGATCTATAGCTTAAGTACCACAGTTGAATGAGGATTTCCCTTTTCCAAGGGGAAAAGGTACCTCCCCACTTTTCAGTCAAGTGAAGTGCCTATGTAGCTGGGATGCCTTGTGCATACACATCTGCACACATCTTATGGCTAGATTTAAGAAATGGTTTCCATTTCTATGCTAGAAATTGCAGCTGCTGAGCATTCTCGAGAAAGATTAAAACCAGCAACTCGCCTCCTTTATCACATGCAAAAAACCCTTAGAGAAACGAAAAACACACCACACTGCCCAATAAAACTTATGGGAGCATAAGCTTTTGCAGCCATTTTGGCTAGACGAGGAGCTGCAGTATTGTTTGATCCGGGAAAGGAATATGAATTGGGTCTTCCTTGAAAACCACCAGACTCGCCGCTTGCTTTTTATTTTACAGAATAGCTTCGCTCTGTCTGCAAATAGACACTCAATGTACACTGTGGAGAATGCTGCAGGAACCTTCTGAGACCAACAAAGCAACACGTTTGCCTTCAAGATGCTGCAAGACTGGTGCTTTTCAAACTAGGCAGCTTTTAAGATGTGCGGACTTCAATTCCCAGAATTCCTCAGCCAGCCAGTCCGCATATGCTGGCTGGGGAATTCTGGGAATTGAAGTCCGCACATCTGAAAGCTGCCAAGGTTGAGAAATAACTGTACCAGGCTGCTTCTTTTAATGCATAAGAGGAGCCAAGTTAAATCAGAAGGAGCACTCAGTTATGTGTCTGCCTTATTAGCGTATAAAGTGCAAGGAGCTTATTTAAAAAGTCAAAAAGCAATTGCTAAAAGAATAAGATCCTCCCCTTTCTTTCCCCACTAGTCTCAGGCGAGAACAGAGGGTGAAAAGTGAGAATGGAAAACCTTTCCTTCCTTGTTGCTTCCTTGTGTAACATTCAAGCAGACACCCGTCGCTTTAAATATGGACAAAGCAGATGGTGAACGCTACCAGCCCCAGCCTCATCAATTCGAACAAAAGCCTGTTCATTTCTCTGGAATTTAGAACTCTTTTTTCTTCTTTTCATTTACTTCTTCACCTTTTAACTCCATGTTTGCTTCTCCATCTGCCATTCCTCCCACCCCCCACCCCCCACCCCACCCCACCCCCCACCCCACCCCACCCCCGCCAAAGGCTTGAGAAAGAGCAGCAGGTGTCCCTCTTTCAAGGCATCTCCTATTCTTGGAAAATTGTCCCATGCGTGAACTTGAAGAGCCTCAAATCTGGAGGTGCAATTCTTGGAACGGCCTTCCCAAGTTTGCTTTTTCTGTGTTTTCTCCCTGCTGTGAGGCACTGATGGCGATCAGACCATTTGGTGTGGATCCAAAAGCTGGTGCCAATCTGACTTTGGCCTGTTTGGCTGTTTTATGAATTTGTTACCCAAGTCAACTGGCGTATGGATTGTTCTTCCCTGAACATCTTCTGCAGGGCTGGAAGGATCAAACGACTTCAGGAGTGACGCCTCTGCACCAAGAGTCCATTGCCTTGTTCTCCAGGCTCTTGTGGACCTTCTCCAGATGATCACCAGGTAGCAGTTTGACAGCATGATACATTCCCACAAAGGCTAGCGTGGCACGTTCTCAGCACGGCAATGATTTCCCAAGAAACGGGGATGACGACGTGTCCAACGTTGCTCGCCCCATTCTGTCTAAGGGAAGGGGGTATTCCTTTCTACATAGCCACAGCTCACCCTATTCAATCTCTGCTTCCTTATCTTTGAAGGAAGGCTTACCCTGTGCAAATTTTCAGTAGTCTACATGCATCCATCAGGGATCTTATTTTTTAAAAAAAATCTTCTTGGTCACTGATGGGACCCGTTTTCTGTGGAGAATTTTCTGGCATTATGAACGGCAGGCAACACACCGAAAATCCGCCTCTTTCACCACGCTGTAACTGCAACCCACACAGGCCACGTGGTACCAGGCGTCGCAGCCATCGCACTGGACCCACTCCACCATCTCATCCTGGGGAAGGCGGCACCGGGGAGCCGCACACGGCTCCAGGGCAGACAGTGACTGGGAGAAAACTTGGCCAGCGCTTCCCAAAGGATTCTTCCGAGGCCGGCCACGACGCTTTCTGGAAAGAACCAAAACAGAGATAACACATTTGTAACATGTCATAATCGCCCAAGCTCATTTCCTGAAATAGTGTCACACCTGCCCCAACTTAGATCTTTAGGAAAGAGAGACCCTCGACTCCATTTGGTTGAAGTGATAGGTTCTTTTACTAAAGACAAATGATTGCAGCGAAAGTAAGGGTAGATCTGAGTATGCCTGTGCAACATTTTACAATTTTCCCCTTTCCCTGGCCTCCCCCCTTGACCAGTTCAACAGTGTCCAATAACATCCAGGTTTGATGTTTTGGGAACTGCTTTGAAGCTGGACTCTTCTTGAAATAGTTCCCAGGATAGGTGTCCTTGACAGCTGGTTTATTCCAGTTTGACACTTCTGGTTCCTGTCAGCTTGTTTCCCTCCCCCCTTTCATTCATCTTCTCTGCAGCCCAAGCTTCCCCAAATTCCTTCCCTCTCCCCTTTCAGTTTACAGCAGGATGCCAATGAAGCAAAGCGAAGCAACTGAAGATGGCAGACCTGACAAATAGTCAAGATCATGTCAGAATTGTCCATTTAAAAACAAACATCTCCCAAATCTTCTGTCAGGCCCTGTAGCAAAGCCTAACACTGATTCCAAGCACAATTCCCAGAGTTTTCTTTAGCGAGATTTATTTTTTTTAAAAAAAGAATAGGACGGGTTTACAAGAATTCCAACAAATGAAGTGTTTTCCATTTAGAACTAATTTATTCTCATGTGTATTAGGGACAAGGTGTTTTTGTTTTGTATTTTTAAAGTTTGCTTCAAGTCACCTTTCTATGCCTGGGACAGGCTTTTTTCCCCACTGAAAACAAGAGAAGGTTGCATTAACAAAACAATCGCCTAAATCTTTTATGAGTCTGAGAACCAGCCATTCCATCTTCTATTATTCAATTTGCTGTACTAAATTGTATTGTCTAAATTCCATTCAAGAGAGAATATAGAGTTCACATTTCCAGACTCAAGTATGAGAGGAAAGAAGGGAAGGAGAGGTTAGAGTCGCAAAACTGGAGAAGATGCAGGAAAGGGCAATCAAGATAAATAAACAGGGTATTGCTGTAGGTTTCCTACAAGGAAAGATTAATGTGTTAGGCCTTTCTCTCACTGGAAGCTACTTCAGAGCCAGCCAATGCAAGACCTTTGTCACTAAGCACCTAATAAATATATGAAATAAATGGTGATAATCACTTATTAGACCATTATATTATTCCTCTAAGACAGGGGTCTTCAAACTTGGCCCTTTTATGACTGATGGACTTCAATTCCCAGAATTCCTCAGCCAGGCACGCACACCTGCCGCTCACTTAAATGGAGCGCTCACCCGCTCGCCAGCAGCTCGTGCAAGTGAGGATGCAAGTGTGCAAGCCGGCCATTTCTGCGGCCTGGTTGCAAACCCCTCACGGCCCACAGGTTGGGGACCCCTGCTACACACCAAAGGCATACAGAATGCTGTTTACCTCCCCATCAAAATGGTAACTTATTTATCTACTTGCATTTGTATGCTTTTGGACTGCTAGGTGAGCAGGAACTGGGGCTCCCCCCTTGCACGGAGCTTGGGTCTTGAACCCGGGCTGTCAACTCGCCAGCTGACAAGCTCAGGGTCTTTAACCGCTGAGCCATCGCACCCCCCCCTTAAGAGAAATAATGTTGCATATATCATAGGCCTTAAAAGGACTCACCCACTTGGTGTGATATGAAGTTTTGGTTCGACATCTTCCTGGGTCGTTTTGCTCCCTTCCTGCGTTCTTTGCTGGAGCCTCAAATTGCTACTCTGGCAACACCGGTAAGTCCCCAAGCGCTGCTCCTTGTCTGGGGGTGGCTGCTCTTCTTCCAGACGGGCGATTTCATCCTCTAGTTCAGGAAGCACCGTGTGAACTGACTTTCGGCGATTGCGGGATGGTTTCGGCTGGGCAGGAGGATCCCTGCACTGGCTCCGGCTCAAAGAGAAAGTAAAGGGCTGGGGCTTCAGCTTGCTAAGGCTGCCGATGGAGCTGAGGATGAGGGTGGCTTTAGGACGGCAAGAGAGGGAGGTGGGCGAATGACGGGACAGGGGCCGGATGCGATGGTTGTCGGAAGGCAAGACGGGCCGGAAACCGGAGGAGGAAGCCCAGGGGGCTTTGGGTTCGGTGATAGCTGCAAAGTCTTGCGGCCGGACACGGACTTTCTGGAAGAGGAAATAAAACTCGGAGTCGCCGTGCGGCGGCGGCAAGACGCAACCCTCGGCCACCGGGCTGGGATGGCCGAAAGTCAGAAGGTCCCCATCGTTCAGATCCACCCGCTGGCCGTGGGACATGCGGAGGGCATTGATGTATGTACCTGAAAGGAGGAAAAGGGTTACAAGTAGTCTAGTCCTCAACTTACGATCGGCCGCTAAGCGTTTGAAGTCACCACAGACTCCCAAAATGTACTTAGGACCCAGGTTTGAAGTTCTGATAGGCAGTTCTCCGCACCCCATGATCACATATTGGGCACATTGACGGCCATTTGCAGCATCCCAGTCACATGAACCTGATTTTATGTTGTTTTTTTGTCAGAAACTAGCATTTACTTCCAGCTTCTGGCAAAAAATACCCACAGCAGACGATGGGTTCGCTTAACAACTTTGGCATTCACTTAAGAACTGCTGCTGCTGCTGCAAAAAAAGAAAAGTTGTAAAATCAGGTCAATCTTATGATGACTAGCTTTAAGGACAGGTATGACTTACAACCATAATTCTGAGTTCAATTATGGTGGTAATAATAATAATAATAATAATAATAATAATAATAATAATATTAATAATAATGATGTTAGAAGGGATCTTAGAGGTCATCTAAACTTCCAGTGTTGGAGCATTCACCGCTTCTGGAGGCAGGTTGTTCCACTGGTTAATTGTTCTAACTGTCAGGAAGTTTCTCCTTAGTTCTAGGTTGCTTCTCTCTTTGGTTAGTTTTCATCCGTTGCTTCTTGTCCTGCCTTCAGGCGCTTTGGAGAATAGCTTGACTCCCTCTTCTTTGTGACCACCCCCTGAGATATTGAAACACTATCATATCACCCTTAGTCAAGGTTTAAATGTACTTAAATGCTGGTTAGCCAAACTATTATCTTTTTCAAATGGGCTTATATGTGCAAAACATATGAAGGGAAATTGTTCTTCACCTAGGATACATAACTGATTTATGTCAGGAAGGGGCAACTGGCCACACAAGGCCCTCACCACTGCACAACTTTGTAGCCAGTAGTCTTCCCCTCAGGCTCTGAGTGTGTATGGGCCAGTATTAGTTAGACACACTAATTTGTGGAATTCTTTGCAATCATCCCATTTAGCAGAAGCAGACAACGATAAAAGATGATGGACATTTAGAAAAGTGTTTTGTCATAAGTACCTGTAGCCACTTAATACACAAGTTTACAATGAGGCATTTTTTAAAATATTGCACATGTGCAGGACCAAGTCAGGTTCTCACGCATTGCAAAATACCAAGAGAGAAGCAGAGAAGTGAAAAAAGAAGTGTTTTTTTCTAAGTGTGAGTTACAGGTGGTCGTTGACTTACAACAGTTCATTTAGTGATTGTTCGAAGTTACAACTTATGATCCTTTTCACACTTATGGCCATTGCAGCATTTCCATGGTCAAGTGATCAAAATTTAGATGCTTTACAACAGATTCGTGTTTATGACGGCTGCAGTGTCCCGGTGTCATGTGATCACACCTTTTGTGACTTTCTGACAAGCAAAGTCAATGGAAAAGTCAGATTCACTTAACAACCGTGTTACTGAGCAACTAAAGCGATTCACTTAGCAACTGTGGCAAAAAAGTCATAAAATGGGACAAAACAACTGTCTCACATAGCAATAGAAATTTTGGGCTCAATTATGGTCATACATAATTGTATTGTAGTTTGTTTCAGATCTGGCCTTTTGGAATGCATGTTTCTCCTTCAGAAATGAACTTGATTTTTCAAGTATAAGGTTGACGCCCCTTATATAAATATTACCTGTACTAATCTAAGCAATTATTCAACTTCTGAGTTGTGGATTTTGTTCTGAAGCTCTCAAAATAAATGAACAGATAAAAGCAATTCTTCTTAATTCTCAAAAATCCAAATGTGCTCAAATTCAATACATTTAGGAAGAAGTGTCTGAACTCTTTGGTGCATTGGCTAAGGCACCAGGCTAGAAACCAAGAGACTGTGAGTTGGATCAATCACTCTCTCAGCCCAACCCATCTGACAGGAAAATGTGTTGGCCACCTTCAGCTATTTATAAAAATAACAAAGGTGGGATGTAAATAAACAATTAGGCCAGAATTTAGCAGCATAATACAGGTAGTCCTCGACTTACGACAATTGAGCCCAAAATTTATGTTGCTAAGCAAGACATTTGTTAAGTTAGTTTTGCCCCATTATTACAACTTTGCTTGCCACAGTTGTTAAATGAATCACTAGAGTTGTTAAGTTAATAACATGGTTGTTAAGTAAAACTGGCTTCCCCATTGACTTTGCTTGTCAGAAGGTTGCAAAAAGTGATCACATGACCCTGGCACACTGCAACCAACATAAACACGTCAGTTGCCAAGTGTCTGAATTTTGATCACATGGCCACAGGGATGCTGTAACGGAAGTAAATGCAAAAAAAAAAAATCCCGGTCAGAATCACTTTTTTCAGTGATGATGTAACTGAAAAGGTCCCTAAATGAACTGTTGTAAGTCGAGGACTACTTGTATTCACAAGAACTCACCATAACTGCTACAGTCCACCAGGCCCACTCGCCATTCCCCTGCCATGCTGTCAGCATCCCGTTCTGCATGTATCTCTGCATGGACCCGGGAGATCAAGGCTGGATTTTGCTCCGACACCAGAATGACATCACAAACTTCAGCTCGGCGACCCAGACGATAAATGCAGCTGGGCTTGGCAGGTCGAAAAGTGTAGAGATCCCGGTTTGGCAAATCCCCAGAAGAGGCCGGGCCCATTCGGAGTAACTGGAAGCAGGGCAGAGCTTCAGAAAGCATGGCTAGATCTCCCTCACTCCAAAGACAATGTTAGTGTCAGGTGACAAGCAGGTCTGGCAAGGTTCAGTCACTCCACCAAATGCCAGCAAGTTGACTTTCACCTATGGCAGCAGCAAACTTTTTAATGGAAAAAAAAAGCAATACCAAGTGCAAGAGAATAGGGTCAATTGCAAGCTGAGATTGCTACAAAAATTGGCTGAATGCCCCAAACCACAGCTTGTGCGATGACAGGTTCATCTCTACCTGAAAAGGGGGGGGGGGCAGACAGGGGTGCTTCCATCAGCACACAGCTTCCTAGATTAATCCTGACTGATTTAACTGCAAAGAAAAAAAAACAAGGCTTCCTCAGTCAGGCAACCTGTTTCATCTCATCATGACACTCATTGGTTGATTATCAGTTGCAAGACCCCCTTCAGACATTTAAGGACAATTTCCTCAAGAGCAATTTTTTGAGGACACTGACTCCCAACCCGCATTGCGGGAGCAAACACCCGCTTCTGCAAATTGTCATTGCTTTTTTTTTTTTTTAAACTCTGCCGTGAGTGCAGGAAGGTTCCAGACTTCCAACTGCAGGACAATAAATAAATCACGACCCTTAGAACTACTGGAAGTTCCCGAGTTGGCGGAAATCAGGATGCAGATCTCGATGGACAGGCTCGAAACCGGCTCGACTTTCTCAGCAGACCGGGATCTTCAAGTGAATTCGGGTTTTATATCAGCGGCCAAGTTACAGGTTTTTTGTCAGTCTCTACGGTTTTCCCGACAGCGAAGCCGACGATGACCGCCCTTCCTTGCAAGCAATTCTGGAACATCCACGCCCCGCTCTACCAGGTAACGCAGTTCCAGAACCCGGGCATTCGCCGTAGCAACAATATCTTGGGGGGGAGGGTTCTTGAACCGCCGTCTCCTTGGCGACGTCTCGAATTACCTAGGAATGCTCTTCTGGAATCTTGTCTGCTCGAATCTCGTCCAGGCGTCGGGGGCGGCGAGTTGAGAGTTTCTCCGCTGGCGGCTCCTTGCAATGCCGCTCCCCGGGCTCCGAGCGGCGCGCGCTGCCCTCTAATTGGCCCAGCTGAAGCGAGCGGAAGGAGGAACGACAGTAGCCTCCGATCCCTATTGGCCGCTCGCAGCGAAAGCCCGCTTTCCCGTTGGCTGGGAAGGCTCGAGGGCGGTCGGCGAGCATAAGCGCGCGCGAGGCCGACCCGGGCTGGGGCGGAGGAAGGCCCTGATTGGTGGGAGCGTCAGGGTGGGCTTGGGCGTCGTGGCGGGTTCGGCCGGCGGAAGGCGATTGGGTGGTGGAAGGGGGAGGGCGGGTCCTTGAGGGGCAGGAGGAGCGATAGCTATTGGCGGGATGGGCCTCTTTGGCCCCGCCTTCCGAACTTTGCTTTCTAGATAAAGTTGCCAAGTGCTGGTAATGCTTGACTTACAACAGTTCGTTTAGTGACGGTTCAAAGTTGCAAAAGCACTGAAAAAAACGATTTAGGATCATTTTTCACACATATGCAGCATCCCCATGGTCATGTAATCAAAATTCAGCTGCTTGGCAACTAGTTTATATTCATGATCGTTGCTGGGTCCCAGGGTCATGTGATCACTTAACAACTGGGTTACTAACTTAACAACTGCAGCAATTCACTTAACAACTGAAAGGTAGTGAAATGGAGGCAAAACCCACTTAACAAATGTCTCTCTTAGCAACATAAATTTTGGGCTCAATTGTGGTCGTTAAGTTGAGGACTATCCTCAAAAGATGGGCAGGAAGTGACATGGCATGGGAATTTGCAAGAAGGGTTCCTTGTTTGAAGAGCTGAATGTGGCACCTTTGAAGGAATGGATGGAAACTAATCAAGGACAGAACTAGCCTAGAAATAAAGAGAAATGTTCTTACAAGTTAAAATCAATCAGTGGAAGGGCTTGCCTTCAGAAGCTATAGGTGCTTCATCACTTGAGGTTTGTAAGAAGAGATCGACAGCATCTGCCTGAAACGCACAGGGTCTCCTGCTTGAGCAGGGGGTTGTACCAGAAGACCTCCAAGGTCCCTTCCATCTCTGTTATTCTTTTATTTAAGGGGCCACAAGTCAACAGGCAAAAGAAATCCTTCTGTTCTTCCCACACTCTATTTTGGAAAAAACAAGCAGCAGAGAGGGAACACCAGGCTAGCAATTCCAAAGATGCTTTTTCATGAGGCAACTGGACTTTCTTGTTTTTCTTTTCATAAACACATGGCACAATATAGGACAGGGGTGTCAAACTCAATTTCATTGAGGGCCGCATCAGCATTGCGGTTGCTCTGGGGGGGGGGGGGCTGGGTGGGGGCTTATGGAGCTAAGACTGAATGCATTTCAGCATAGATGACCACCACAAAATTGTACATTGGCTCCCGGCTGGCCTGGGCCAGGGCCAAGGCAGAGGGAGCTGTTCCCTCACTGTTTCCAGGATGGCTTCGCAGGCCACATGAAACCACTTCGCGGTTGCATCCGGCCCCCAGGCCTTGTGTTTGACATGTCTGATGTAGGAGAACAAACCCATCAGGACAAGAGTCAGCAGTCCATCTGCATTTAAAAGACAAAGGCCACTCTTTCAAAGACAGCAAAGTCCACATTTTGGACAGAGAGGACCGCTGTTTTGAAAAAGGGGTCAAAGAGGCCATCTATGTCAAAACAGCCCTCTCTCAACAGAGGGGGAGGGATACGACATCATCTATCTCCAGTCTACAACAAATTCCTTTCAGCAGTTCCAAGAAGGCTCCACACCCATTTGCATCATTCAGGTGACCCTGGTGACAGATAAACCTTCAGGTGGCATCAACTCTCTAAAAGAAGGCAAATGACCAGCTGTCTGCAAGGAGTATAAATCCTTCCATTCCCCACCATCCAGTCAGAGCTGAAGAAACTTCTTGGATGTGAAGTGAAATGTCTTCGAAGAAAAACAAAGTCCAGTTGCTTCCTGAAAAAGCACCTTTGGGACAACCATACCAAAATGACTGAGAACCTCCACAGACAATCACTGATATTCAAATTTATTTAAAGCATCAGAATGTGTGTGTGTAAGGTATATGGACAATACAATACAGTATAGGAGATAATATATTAAGATAAAACCATAATAAAATCACAATATGGAGCCATAGAATTACAATGGGATGGATGTTATAATTTAATATCTAAAGAAGTGAATCCTCTAACTCAGGGGTGTCAAACTGCCGACCCGCGGGCTGGATGCATCACAGCAAAACCGCGCCCACCCCATTGCCGGCAATGGCAAAAAAGTTGTGATACGTCACGAAACGTCACGCTGCGAGTTTGACCCCCCTGCTCTAACGGCTTTTGGTGTGGCTTTGATGAGATCATCCCAGGTGCCTTGAAACTGAATCTAATTAATGTCAAGAACACTACAGCAAGTAACAGGCCTAACTGTTATGTAACATCAATTGGTATGACTTTCAAAGGTCCTAAACTATTTTTCCCAATCCAAAAATGTGGGAGATCTGTGATAGTCTTTCTGAGAAAATCAGAACTTGATAAAAGAAGTAAAATAAAAACTTTATTTACATCATGTTTTATTACAAATATCTGTTCTCTCTTGCTTTCCAATGATCTTCCCACTGTATTTTTAAGTGTCCATAACGGTGTTTATATTTTTGTCAGGCTCTTCCTCCTCCAAGATAGCAGCACCCAGAGTTTGTAAGTTATCCAACACAGCAAATAGGGATTCTGTGAAAAGATTTTTTTTTTAAAAGGATATGATGTGATAGGGGCAGGAAGTCATCCACAAAATCCTGGATCAAACATCCTTAAGCTAGAAGGAAAAGTAACACTAAAATTTAGAAGGCTCTGGAACTTTTACAAATAAGCTATGAATAAGAATTGCAAAGGATTACAGGAAGCAAGATATGACACTTAATGTTAACTAGAGATAACACAGGGAAAAAAATAGAACTGTTGAAGAATGGATTTTGAGAATGAATTAGGATAGATAGTGAAATTAACTGCTTTAATTAGAGATAATGGACTAGACAGCTTTATAAGATACTGGAAACCGTTTGTGGGACTTTCTACGCGCTAAATATCCCAGATGGTTAACAGAAGGATTTGAAGATTAGTGTAATGTTTAGCTTAACATTGGTAAAAGAGAGCACCCTACATGTTAACCCTACATGTTAAATGTATTGCTCACTTTTTGTACATGATTTTTTTTTTTGTTGTTGTTGTTACGGTTGAATGTATGCTTTATTTGTTTTGTTTCACATTGTTTGTTTGTTTTACTGTTCTGTATTTTATTTTTCCTGATAAAACAATACATAATATTTTTTTTTTAAAAAAAGAGAAAAAATAGAATTCCTAGAGAACAGATCTATACCTTTAGATGGAGGACTAGTTCCTGCCTTTCGAATCGATTTAGCTGGGACTGCTGACAACCGGTTCTGTCGATACTGGGCTAATAGCCCTTCTTGCCTCAAGGTGGCCTGCAAGGAGGGAGGAAGGAAGAAAGGAAGGAAGCAATCTTAATGAAAAGCCATCACACGGGGCAGCAATTCCCCCCTTACTGCTTGAACATACCATTAACAAGTTTTTGTCCCTCTCAAGCTCTTGCAGACGTCCTTCAAGACGGGCCATTTCCTGTTGTGTTGCAGACTCCTGAATTTTTGCCAGTTCCTCACTCCTTGCTTTGTCTCTGGCTGCCTGCCGCTCAGCTTGCCGTAGGGCAACCACTAAGGAGATAAGCACATTTAAAGAGGGATTCAAATTGCGGAGAGTGAGGAACACAAGCCTCTTGCTACCATATACGTGACTGCCCTATAAGGTCAGTCAACTGATGCAGGCCATCTACTGTGAATGGCAGGAGCTCTTTGGAAGTTCACATAAAGGTCATTTCAGGCTAAGTGTAAGAGTTCTGGGTAGAATGGATTGCAATCTGCCGTCCAGAGTCAGTTGATAGTGAGATGGGCAGCATATAAATTTAATAAATATTTTTCAGCATGGACCCCAGTAGTCCATCTCTCAACTTCAACTGTAGCTCGGCCTTGTGTAAAAATCTTCTGTCATCCTTTTACCACAAAAGGCTTTTTAAAATACTTCTGCCATAGATAAAACAT